TATTATCTTCTTCTTCAGTTTGCGGAGAATTCTTAGCTATACTTATAGATAGCAACTTGGCTGTAGTGGAATTGCTTCGTCTATTATGACCATCAGGAGGTCTATATGATTGTCTGTCTATAAAGGCAATAAAAAATTAAAATATGACTCGTAGGTCGTAGGCAACCCTACCCCTCTTTATTCTCGCACGTATATGTGTATGTGTGCATAAAAGTAAATTATCGCTATGTATGTGTGATGCGGTCACGTCGAGAACAAAATACATTGCAATTTTATGAATGTTAAATTACTCAAGGATTAATCATTGCTCATTGTTCTTTAATGATATGTATATAAAAATAAATTGAAATTTTCAACAGACAATAGCAAGTTTGACGGAATATGGCCATGTCAAAGGCATCAATGATAATAAGAAAATAGTTAACTTAAAATAATATAAAATGCCTTATCTTATATAAATTATTAGTGTGTTGTAAATTTGTAAAAGTACAAGACGAAAACGGAACTAGAAATTCGCGGTAAAACAATTCGCAATCATATTTTTTATCGTAGCGTTTATTCGAGATTGTTCCCACACACAGAGCAACTACGCTTTTGGCGATGTGAAACGCTTAAAATTTCGAACGCGGCGCGAGTTTTAATTTGTGATCAATTATGCGAGAGCACTCTTATTTATTCGTTGTTTTATTTTATTTGGCTGCTCGCTTCGGCCGTGGGTGGTCCGGTCACGATATTCGACGCTTAATAAGTTCCACTTATTGTGCCTTATAGCCAAGAAAGGTTTAAATTTAAACTGTTTTATTGTTAATTCTCCTTTTATAATATATTTGTGACAATATTTATTACACGAAGTAAGCTTTGTTCGAGGTTTGAGGTTAGTGATGATACAATTTTGTACTTTGTAATAGATTTATTTAGTTATTATATTTAATCTTCTATATATATAAAAATGAATTGCTGTTCGTTAGTCTCGCTAAAACTCGAGAACGGCTGGACTGATTTGGCTAATTTTGGTCTTGAATTATTTGTGGATGTCCAGAGAAGGTTTTTAAAGGTTAGATAAATATGAAAATGTGCGGAATTAAATAAAAATAACAAATTTGCTTTTCCTTTGATGTGTCCCCCGTCGGACGGATTCCTTTTGTTTGTTTTAAGTTTATTTTATACATTATCGATTGAGCCACTACGAAGTCTGCCGGGTCAGCTAGTGTATAATAATTATGTATTCGCTTTTGGTACACACAGCATATTAGAGTTTTCTTTACTCATATTTATAAAACTAATTGCGGTATGTATTGGAAGTCTGTATATTTCATTTAACAAATACGATCCTACGAGTATAAGTAAATTTGATTTTAAAAAAATCCATAACAAAAAAAACATTGTAAATGCCAAATTAATTACAACGCACAACATTTTCTCTCAGTTGAATTTTAGTCCTGTGTTGTTGAGTTAATTTAATTTTCTCGGTACGAAGATCCTTTAATGTTTTTCCGAAGCCTAATTGGTAACGTTATACAAAATAATATGTATATCCGAACAAATTACATCAGAAGTAAATTGTAATTTTCCGAAAAATGTTTTTCTTTTAGAACACGAATCAAAGTGAAATAATGTGATGAGAAACCGCTTCGAGCTTTAAAAGCGTAATTGAGAATTTCGTTGACTGTCATACCGGTTTATGAACTCGATTTTTATTTTGTGAGATTGACAACCCATAGATTATTAGTGGCAACCATATTAACTCTAACATTGAAAACTCTTAATTGAAAACTCTAACGATATATATCTATACATATAAATAAAATTAGAGTATCTGTTTGTAATATTGAAATAACCGCTTTTTACTACATACATATGAATATATATACGGTACATACACCAAAATATAATTTTATTTTTATTTTTGTCTGTCTGTCTGTCTGTCTGTTTGTTCCGGCTAATCTCTGGAACGGCTGGACCGATTTTGACGAGACTCACTGATATGTAGCTGATGATATAAGGGGATAAGATCTAACCTCACCTAGTGGGATAAGATGGATACAAGAAGAATAAAATTAGGATCGTGGGGCATAAAATAAAACTACATATTCCTTTCGTCCACTCTTATTGTTCTCTTCACAATTCTTTATTATCTATATATATAAAAATGAATTGCTGTTAGTTAGTCTCGCTAAAAGTCGCGAACGACTTGACCGATTTGGCTAATTTTGGTCTTGAATTATTCGTGGAAGTTCAGAGAAGGCTTAAAGGTAGATAAATATGAAAATGCTCGGAATAAAATAAAAATAACAATTTTGTTTTTCCTTTGATGTGTCCCCCGTCGGACGGATTCCTTTTGTTTGTTTTAAGTTTATTGTATACAAAAGTTTAGGTCTTTTATTTATCGATTGAGGCACTACGAAGTCTGCCAGGTCAGCTAGTATTAATTAAAAATTATCTTGACACATTTTTTACGCTTTTCTCATTCAATGGTTTTCGCCATCTTGCTTTTTTACTGGTGGTATGACATCTTGTGAGCCTGCACGAGTAGGTTGCATCGCCCTGCCTATTTCTGCCGTGAAGCAGTAATGGTTTTCGTTTTGAAGGTCGGGGCAGCCGTTGTAACTATACTGAGACCTTAGAACTTATATCTCAAGGTGGCTTTACGCATTTACGTTGTAGATGTCTATGGGCTCCTGTAATTTCTTAACATCAGGTGGGCAGTGAGCTCATCCAACTATCTAAGCATTAAAAATAAATAAAAAATACGTCGAACCTACAAAGCGCTATATATGCGCTTATCCTAAAACATTTGAAAGCATTAAGTCTGTAGCCCGCATTATGGAGGTTGACTGTCCATTTTGTTATTCTAAGAGCATCGGGCGCCCCCACGACCAGTTACCGGTAAATTGTTCTACGTAATGTGATTCTAATAGAGCGGCTAATTCGTACTGAGCATACACTTGCTTAATTAGCCATTTAGCCATTACCGCAGACCGACGATTCTTGCTCCGTCCTTTTTTGTACTACAGTAAATAAAAGTTAATAACGGTTAAATCGTTTTTCTGTAATTTGAAAATTGTTTTCTCTTAAGATGTTGGATAATCAAATTTTAGTTACATTTGAGTTTGAAACAGATAGTCTTAGATACCTATAGAGGTTAATTATTATATCATAAACTAGCGACCCGCCCTCGTTTCGCTTCGGAAACTGTAATTTATTATTGATTTCTCCACTATTTAATGGATGTTATTATAATTATAAACCTTCCTCTTCAATCACTCTATCTATTAAAAAAAACCGCATCAAAATCCGTCGCGTAGTTTTAAAGATTTAAGCATACATAGGGACAGGCAGATATAGGGACAGAGAAAGCGACTTTGTTTTATACTATGTAGTGATATGATGATTCTAATTTGAAATACCTTTCCAGCCGCCGCTTCTCCGAAATAAAACATAAAAATTTAAATTCATTTATCATGTTCACAAAAAAACATACTTTTTGCTACCTTTGGTGGATAAGCTCGGTCGATCTGATGGTAAATGCTCACCAAAATTAAATCAGAAAGCATTATTGCTTTGCCTTAGGAACTGCAAGACTACAATACGCCTTTCCACCAGCATCATGGACATCAGGAGCCTGAGAGGTTTTCTCGACCTAAATTATTTCACAGATCAGAAATTGAGATTGCGATGGAAATAACATTGTACTATAGATACACAAGTTGTGTTACACGTAACGATTCTCTATTAAGCATCACTAATTCCACCATTTTGTGCCAATATTTTCGCGATAAAACCAGTAATTACTGCGCAGGAGATAATGAAGCGGTCTCGTTCGTAAATAACAAGTTTAATAGCCCTCTAATAGCTTTCTTGTTATTGTTTGTTACAAGAAACTGAAGTAAAACGTAAACAAACGTAGCTAGCTATATTATATTATATAATCTGTGTAATAAGCGAAATTACCCTTTGTTCGGCGGGATTTCGTGTTTGCATAGGGCTGATAATTATTGTTACTTAAATATTTGGTGGTGTTATATCGTGATGAGATTGCCAAAAAAAAATGGCGTTCGATTCATTAATGAAATCCTTTTTGCTTTTACTTCGTACGTTACTAGCTAATTAGCTTTTTATATTATATTATAACTAATTAATTTCAACGTTTATTGTTAACTGTTTGAGTGCAATTTAATTGGTTTTTACAGAAATGGAAAATGATCTTAATGATAATACTTTATTGTCTTGCGCTAAAAATATTTTTGCCATGTAATAATTTTTTACGAAAGCACTGATATGTTTTTTTTAAATAATACCATGTTTGAATTACCTGAATAAAAAATAACAATGTTTCTTCCACGATCGTAGAGCGTAATTTTTTTTCTGGCAACCCTGTTTGTACCTGTAAAGCATTGCCATGGAAGTTAATCGGGGAAACGGTTTGCAAAATTATGATTTATGGGATTTTACGGGAACTCAAAGAGGAACGGGAGTGAGAGGATAACGTCAAGAAAATATTTATTATTATTTACCAAGATAATAAAATGAATTTCGTGTTTTTGATAACATTTTTTGTTTTCCTGCTATTAAATTTATATTAATTTTAACGATTAATATGGGATACAAATTGATATATTGTAACCTCAAGATTAAAATACTTTTTATCGCAAAAATAACGTATTCAAAGCATACACGACGTAATGGGTCACACTGGTCTGATACATATACGCACGTTGAGTGATGTTACTGGAACAGGATTCAAATTTATAAAATGTATGCCAAGCTATTTTTCAATGTGTGTACGTACTTTGAATATTTAGTATGAACCTAATGTCACTTTTACAGTTGGCTGTTTAGTACAGTTAAACTTAAAAGTAATTTTTAAACATTGAATGTTCTATTATTTGTGTTAATGGCTATATAAGCTATTGTTATTATTTTAAAAATACTAAAAAGACCTTTATTAATGGAAAATAATGTAAGGATTAAAAAAAAAAACTTACTCTTTGTTGTTTCAGATTCTGCAAGTCATCTCACTCCAACAAATGTAAGTACAAATTAATGATAACATTTTAATACTTTTGTAACGGTTTTCGATTAGTTGAATGAATAATAATCTATAAGTTATTTTTTTCTATTTATAACGTGAACAAAATATTGGTTTTAGTTCTAACTACTAATATTTCAATTATGCAAATGCCAGCAAAAAACAATTAGAATTAAAACTACATGGACTACACGCGATTATATTTATCTGGTTACTGGGACTCGGGACATATATTAATAATAATAACTAGTAGTCACCCTGTGATCGAAATTCGACCATAATTATTAATTTACCCTGCTTATTTCTTTACTGGTGGTAGGACCTCTTGAGAGTCCGCGCGGGTAGGTACCACCACCCTGCTTATTTCTGTCGTAAAGCAGTAATGCGTTTCGGTTTGAAGGGTGGGGCAGCTGTTGTAACTATACTTGAGACCTTCGAACTTATATCTCAAGGTGGGTGGCGCATTTACGTTGTAGATGTCTATGGGCTCCAGTAACCACTTAACACCAGGTGGGCTGTGAGCTCGTTCATCCAACTAAGCAAAAAAAAAAATTTGACCAGTGAGAAAAGAGTATATAGGCGTGTGTGTGTCAAATACATAGTAGTATATGTAATGCTTTTTTTTAATTGATTTATTGTGTTTTTTATCCATAATTATAAAAAATTGGCATTCTGCACTCCTTCTCTATATTATCTACTAGCCGTATTCGCCTGCTTCGCTGTCCATTTAAAATTAAAGTTATTATTTATTGTCTTTTATTAAGGAGTCCAACATTCATATAAATATTAGCCTATTCATTAAGTACATGTATTTTCTACATGGATACCAAGTTTCAAGTCAATCGGATGCGTGGTTCTGTAGTTATAGCGGAGCATTTGTAAAAACCACTGTAGATTTATAAATTAGTATAGATAAGTGTGAGAAATTTCATGCTCCTCCTTCCGCGCAATTTTCGTAAAAACGGCTACAAAGTTTTTGCTTCACGCTTTATTATATAGATTAACATAATAATTTGCAAATATACATCGTCTTACTCTTTCGTTCGCTCCAAAACATGAACCTTCGAACTCTCGCGCAAAAAATATACAAGTAAAAGCATCTATTATCACAATTTAAGTCGCAAAATTGTCCATCACAACAAATCGAAATCAACAGCGAAATCTTTTATATGAAGATTCGATTCCAAAGCCCTGATGAAGCCACCTCCGGGTGACATTGCTGAGTATTTGACGTTTAACACGGACCACCCTCTAAGTTCAAAACAATATTTCACAGGCGGTTAACGATCTATTTACATGAGAGGCGGCGTGGATCGCTCTCGTTTGGAGCACGCCTCAAAGGGATGCCATAAAAGCTAGGAAGTTGACAAATCTCTTGACGTTATTTCTGTACTAATTAGATGCGGAGGCGTGAGCGATGTCACACGAGTGACAAACGAACGATAAGGCACGAGTCTTAGAGTAACCGATGAAAAGGAATGTATCCTTTTCGCCTTTAATTGTGGCAGGGAGCCTTATATATCTTACAGTTCAGTACGACCGTCTTGATCAGTGATTTCTGCCCGAAGCAGTCATACGCTCTGGCTTGAAGAGTGGGCATCAGCTAGCTGGTTCTTAGACGAATTTCATCATTTCTGACTCGATCCATCAAAGAAACCTTTCCATAGCACGCTGAGCCACTTTGAACTTACGGACCAAACCTACGGTCAATGTCCACGTTTCAGCGCCATATGTTATGACCGGCAGCACACAAGTTATACCAACCGCAGTTATACAAACAAAACCAAAATTGTCACATTAGTAACGTGTTGCAAGATATGCGGCATTGGATGGTTTTTTTCAATGATGGAATTAGCAGCGGTTTGCAGGCCTTTCCAGCTTCACCAAGGACGGTTAGGTGAACTTGAGGGCTCAGTTGGGACATAAGAGATAACAGCAACCCGAATGCTTCACAAGGAGGCGTACTAGTTCCCTAGAACTAGTTCCCTAGAACTAGTACGCCTCCTAGAACCTATACCTACCTACCATATTTGCTTCGTGTATCACATACTACCGGATCGGAATTGCAACTCCATGAGGATCTCAGCGGGCTCATGTTAGATTCGCGTCGGGTCAAAGGGGGAGCCCTTGGAAAAAGTACTGCAGTATTAACTTAAATACACCACTTGCTAAACCACTGATCTAGTGTATCAGTAATGCTTCGAAATTTCATCGCGATGTAGGACTTGTTCCTATTTGAGTTAAAATTTGCCGTGTCATTTGCCAAGAACTATGTCGGCAGTAACGGGTGAACATTGGTGATGTAGAGTTAATTTGGTCACTTAATTTTATTCATCGTGACAGTCGTTTTTGGACGCCGATCAAGTACAAGATATTTGAGTATTTAAAACTAATTCCAGCAGTAGATTTCTTTTGGCTGATCATAATGATTATGCCTGTCAGGTGAACCATGGCACCATCGCATGACTACGAACACTCCAGGAATCCACGGAATTAAGCTACGGACGCTTCGAAATAAATTGCTTTGATAAAATTTCCTATAAAAAGGAATGTCGTAATTCACTCTTATCTTTTCGTGTTCTGAATTTATAATATTTTAAAGAAGCAGGAGGATACAAAAGTGATAAACCGAGTATTTCAAAGTCAATATTACATGGAAATTAATCTAAAGCCGAAGGAGGTGGTGGAAAGTTATCTCCGAGGGAAACGGGGCATGACCTCCCAATCAAATGTCAAACAAAGTTTTATCAGAGCAAAGTTGACAAATAAATCCGTCGTCCAAACTTTTCTCATAGTCTTCGCGTGTACGCAGAAGTCGTTGAAGGACAATTCTGTAGGTCTAACAACGTATTTACGGGTACCAGCAATCGGCCGGGGAGTAATAACTTGGAGGTTACTATGACTACAGAAGATTTTAAGAGATATAATACGTCGTAATCCCTCTCTAATTAGACAGTAAATCAAAACGTTTATTTTGTTTTTTCGGTCGCCATTTTTAGGACATGGTCAACGGACATTTTGGTGGTTTATTAACTGTTTCATATCTGTGAAAGTGCACAAATTTGGGAAAATGAAACAAAGCTGCTGGACGTAACTTCTCGAGATCCTCCAAAAAGTCCACTGAAAAAATCTCAGTAAAAGACCACCATTTTACTAAGATTATATTTCATCTCATATCATCTCATTTCATTTAATTTAATCCCAGTTGATTAATGTCTCAAATTAATCATCTTCATTTCATTTTGTTTCATTTCACTCCATATTATCATTTTTCATAAAAATAAGAATATAAATTAAAATAAGACATGACTTAAAGGTCTTAGTAACCAGATCATAAACTGCTTTAAAAAAAATTACATAAATGTCAAAACCTTTATCTGTCTGATTGTTGTAGTGTTGTTAACACTTGTACTTCAAATGATAGCTGTAGTTCAAAGCAACCCTGTCAAAAAGCTATTTTGTTTATGATACACTACATTCAATCGATATTTTAAATTTATGTCACACTAAAGACCTTAACGTGTGTGAACTCTTGAATTTGAGACAGAAAACTTTACGATCTGTCAGACATAAATTTAAAGATAGAATCGCGTTGTTTTCCCAATTAAAAACGCAGTGTTCTATGAACGAGAATTAATCGATTATAAACTAAACCTTCTCTGTATTAGAAAAAATAAAATACGGCCGATCGCAGCCTTAATTAAGGCAGTATCAGAAAACAATTCAAAGATATCTTTAATAGTTTTACAAATTTAATTTTACCTACTTCATTTATTACCTAATTCTAAAAAAAAAATATTTAGTTAACACTCTTTTACCTGAATTTGTATAAATATTGATATTTCTTTGACCTTTGTCGTATTCTATTAGTTCAATAAATCCTTTATTTGTTCTCAAAGAATCTCTAACACACTCGAGATATTTGTTACCATTTCGTGTGTATTCAATATTGTTATAAGGGCCGGATGTCCCATTTGTTAGACAAATTCTTCTTCTGCTATCCGAACTTGAAATAGGACCCCCTTTCACATATATCTTAACAAACGATACTAGCGGTGAATACTCTAATAGACATGTCACTTCCAAGAGTGTGGTTTTAAAGAGATATTATTTAAGTGTTCAGAATATCAAATAGTCTATTATTGCACGTTCAGGGGCATATTATGATGCTATATTTTTTAGATTCAAATAATTACTTTTATGGTTTAATCATTTTTGTGTGTCTTTCATGGTGTGGATTGGGAGAGGCCTATGTCCAGCAGTGGACGACTGTGGGCTGTTGATGATGATGATGATGATGATGATGGTTTAATCTCGATTTTATTATTATTAATACATTGTTTCTAGATGTTTCGAATGCTTTACAGCTTTCACGAATGACCTGTAGGCCATTTTATATATATAAGATTTCTAGGACAATAGGTCCATTTTCGTGGCAGACAATATAAAATATTTTATTTGTAAAAGGGTTTTTTTTTCACTTTGATGGGATAAGACACATTTCTGTGGATTTTAATAAGAACATTACAGATTATTCACGAGTTTTATGGTTTGGTATATGAACGTAACACAACCTTTGATCTTTCAGAAGCCACACACAAAAATCGAAAAGATTAACATGTTATGTTATTTATTATTCCTATAATGATTTCCTCTGAAATAATTATTAACAAGCTAAAGTCTGTGATTTTTTTTTTTGTATTTGATATAACTTGACAATTTGTCAAATAGACATTTTTATTTTATTGCTTAGATGGTTGGACGAGCTCACAGCCCACCTGGTGTTAAGTGGTTACTGCAGCCCATAGACATCTACAACATAAATGCGCCACCCACCTTGAGATATATGTTGTAAGGTCTCAGTATAGTTACAACGGCTGCCCCACCCTTCAAACCGAAACGCATTACTGCTTCACGGCAGAAACACGCAGGGTGGTGGTACCCAACCGCGCGGACTCACAACAGGTCCTACCACCAGTAATTACGCAAATTATAATTTT